GCCGTGCGGCTTGCCGTGGCGCGTGCGCGTGCTGGGGTGCGCGTGCGGTGCCGTGCGGGTGCAACGTGCCGTGTGCCACGTGCGGGTGACGTGCGGGGGGTTCACGTTGCTGGTGCCGCGTGCACCCTCGGGTGTCGGGTGGCGGGTGGGCGGGGGGTTGCGGGTGGCGGGTGTGGGTTGCGTGGGGGGTGGCGTTTGCTGGTGTGGCGGTGTGGGTGTGGGTGTGGGTGTGGGTGTGGGTTTGGGTGTGGGTGTGGGTGTGGGTGTGGGGGTGGTGTGGGTGTTTGTGTGTGGGTGGGTGCGTGTGTGTGTGGTGCGTGCGGGGTGTGGTCGTGGTGTGCGTTGGTGTGCGCGTGCGCGTGCGCGTGCGCGTGTGCGTGCGCGTGTGCGTGTGCGTGTGCGTGTGTTTGTGTGTTTGTGTGCGTGCGCGCGCGCACATATGTATGTATATATATATATACATATATATATCCGCCGACCCCGGCCTTCGCCAAGGCAGGGGCAGCGCCTGGGACCACCGCAGGTGTGGAACTTGTCTTTCTTAGCAACAGGCATCCCAAGGCCACATCAATGGCTTCTTATGGGCGTCCAGCGCAGGCAATAGCTACCCGAAGGCCAGATCCATCGCGTCTTCTGGGCGGTCCAGCGTGCCGTTCGCCATGGCATTCGCAGCCAACAGGCATCCCAAGGCCACATCAATGGCTTCTTATGGGCGTCCAAGCTTTTTCTAGGCAGTCCAGGGTGCCGTTCGCCAGGCATTCGCAGCCAACAGGCATCCCAAGGCCACATCAATGGCTTCTTATGGGCGTCCAAGCTTGCCGTTTGCCAGCCCCTAAACCCCTAAAACCCTCCAAACCCCTAAAACCCTGCAAACCCCTAAAACCATCCAAACCCCTAAAACCCTTCTTATGGGCGTCCAGCGCAGGCAGCCAAAAGGCATCCCAAGGCCACATCAATGGCTTCTTATGGGCGTCCAAGCTTGCCGTTTGCCAGCCCCTAAACCCCTGAAACCCTCCAAACCCGGCAAACCCCTAAAACCCTCCAAAACCCTCCAAAACCCTCCAAACCCCTAAAACCATCCCAAGGCCACATCAATGGCAACAAGCATCCCAAGGCCACATCAATGGCTTCTTATGGGCGTTCAGCGGAGGCAATAGCTACCCGAAGGCTAGATCCATCGCGTCTTCTGGGCGGTCCAGCGTGCCGTTCGCCAGGCATTCGCAGCCAACAGGCATCCCAAGGCTACATCAATGGCTTCTTATGGGCGTCCAAGCTTTTTCTGGGCGGTCCAGCGTGCCGTTCGCCAGGCATTCGCAGCCAACAGGCACCCCAAGGCCACATCAATGGCTTCTTATGGGCGTCCAAGCTTTTTCTGGGCGGTCCAGCGTGCCGTTCGCCAGGCGTTCGCAGCCAACAGGTATCCCAAGGCTACATCAATGGCTTCTTATGGGCAAGCTTGCCGTTTGCCAGCCCCTAAACCCCTAAAACCCTCCAAACCCCTAAAGAATGGCTTCTTTGGGCGTCCAAGCTTGCCGTTTGCCAGCCCCTAAACCCCTAAAACCTTCCAAACCCTCCAAACCCTCCAAACCCCTAAAACCCTCCAAACCCCTAAAACCATCCCAAGGCCACATCAATGGCAACCGGCATCCCAAGGCCACATCACAATGGCTTCTTATGGGCGTCCAGCGCAGGCAATAGCTACCCGAAGGCCAGATCCATCGCGTCTTCTGGGCGGTCCAGCGTGCCGTTCGCCAGGCATTCGCTGCCAACAGGCATCCCAAGGCCACATCAATGGCTTCTTATTGGCGTCCAACCTTTTTCTGGGCGGTCCAGCGTGCCGTTCGCCAGGCATTCGCAGCCAACAGGCATCCCAAGGCCACATCAATGCTTTTGCTGGGCGGTCCAGTTTGCCGTTCGCCAGGGATTCGCCGCCAACAGGCATCCCAAGGCCACATCAATGGCTTCTTATGGGCGTCCAAGCTTGCCGTTTGCCAGCCCTTAAACCCCTAAAACCCTCCAAACCCCTGAAACGCTTAAAACCCTTAAAACTCTCAAAACTGCCAAAACGTCTCGGGCCAGATCCATTGCTTTTTCTGGGCGGTCCAGCGTGCCGTTCGCCGGGCATTCGCAGCCAACAGGCATCCCAAGGCCACATCAATAGCTTCTTCTGCGCGTCCAAGCTTGCCGTTTGCCAGCCCTTAAACCCCTAAAACCCTCCAAACCCCTAAAACGCTTAAAACTCTCAAAACTGCCAAAGCGTCCCGGGCCAGATCCATTGCTTTTTCTGGGCGGTCCAGTTTGCCATTCGCCAGGGATTCGCCGCCAACAGGCATCCCAAGGCCACATCAATGGCTTCTTATGGGCGTCCAAGCTTGCCGTTTGCCAGCCCTTAAACCCCTAAAACCCTCCAAACCCCTAAAACGCTTAAAACTCTCAAAACTGCCAAAGCGTCTCGGGCCAGATCCATTGCTTTTTCTGGGCGGTCCAGTTTGCTGTTCGCCAGGGATTTCGCCGCCAACAGGCAGCCCAAGGCACATCCATGGCTTCTTAATGGGCGTCCAAAGCTTGCCGTTTGACAGCCCTTAACCCCTAAACCGCTCCAAACCCTAAAACGCTTAAAACTCCTCAAACTGCCAAAAGCGTCTCGGGCCAATCCATTGCTTTTTCTCTTTTTCTGGGCGGGATCCATTTTGTGCCGTTCGTCGCCAGGGATTCGCCGCCAACAGGCATCCCAAGGCCACATCAATGGCTTCTTATGGGCGTCCAAGCTTGCCGTTTGCCAGCCCTTAAACCCCTAAAACCCTCCAAACCCCTAAAACCTCTAAAACGCTTAAAACTCTCAAAACTGCCAAAGCGTCTCGGGCCAGATCCATTGCTTTTTCTGGGCGGTCCAGTTTGCCGTTCGCCAGGGATTCGCCGCCAACAGGCATCCCAAGGCCACATCAATGGCTTCTTTTAGGCATCCAAGCTTGCCGTTTGCAGCCCTTAAACCCCTAAAACCCTCCAAACCCCTGAAACGCTTAAAACCCTTAAAACTCTCAAAACTGCCAAAGCGTCTCGGGCCAGATCCATTGCTTTTTCTGAGCGGTCCAGCGTGCCGTTCGCCGGGCATTCGCAGCCAACAGGCATCCCAAGGCCACATCAATAGCTTCTTCTGGGCGTCCAAGCTTGCCGTTTGCCAGCCCTTAAACCCCTAAAACCCTCCAAACCCCTAAAACGCTTATAAAACCCTTAAAACTCTCAAAACTGCCAAAGCGTCTCGGGCCAGATCCATTGCTTTTTCTGGGCGGTCCAGTTTGCCGTTCGCCAGGGATTCGCCGCCAACAGGCATCCCAAGGCCACATCAATGGCTTCTTTAGGCGTCCAAGCTTGCCGTTTGCAAGCCCTTCAACCCCTAAAACCCTCCAAACCCCTGAAACGCTTAAAACCCTTACAACTCTCAAAACTGCCAAAGCGTCTCGGGCCAGATCCATTGCTTTTTCTGGGCGGTCCAGTTTGCTGTTCGCCAGGGATTCGCCGCCAACAGGCATCCCAAGGCCACATCAATGGCTTCTTATGGGCGTCCAAGCTTGCCGTTTGCCAGCCCTTAAACCCCTAAAACCCTCCAAACCCCTAAAACCTCTAAAACGCTTACAACTCTCAAAACTGCCAAAGCGTCTCGGGCCAGATCCATTGCTTTTTCTGGGCGGTCCAGTTTGCCGTTCGCCAGGGATTCGCCGCCAACAGGCATCCCAAGGCCACATCAATGGCTTCTTATGGGCGTCCAAGCTTGCCCTAAAACCCCTAAAACGCTTAAAACTCTCAAAACTCCCAAAGCGTCTCGGGCCAGATCCATTGCTTTTTCTGGGCGGTCCAGTTTGCCGTTCGCCAGGGATTCGCCGCCAACAGGCATCCCAAGGCCACATCAATGGCTTCTTATGGGCGTCCAAGCTTGCCGTTTGCCAGCCCTTAAACCCCTAAAACCCTCCAAACCCCTAAAACGCTTAAAACCCTTAAAACTCTCAAAACTGCCAAAGCGTCTCGGGCCAGATCCATTGCTTTTTCTGGGCGGTCCAGTTTGCCGTTCGCCAGGGATTCGCCGCCAACAGGCATCCCAAGGCCACATCAATGGCTTCTTATGGGCGTCCAAGGTTTGCCAGCCCCTAAACCCCTAAAACCCTCTAAACCCCTAAAACCCTTAAAACGCTTAAAACTCTCAAAACTCTGCAAAAGCGTCTCGGGCCAGATCCATTGCTTTTTCTGGGCGGTCCAGATTGCCCTTCGCAAGGCATTCGCAGCCAACAGGCATCAGGCATCAAGGCGTTCCAGCCTGCCGTTTACTACCTTTTTCCTTCACAACGCCGTCCTTGACAGAAAACTGCTTCCCACAGACCGTTCGATGGTTGATTTGCCCTGTCTTCACGTCACTGGCAACATTCCCTTTGCAAGCGGGGCAAACATAAACATACGATTTTTCCTTCACAGCGCCGTCCTTGACAGCAAACTTGTTCCCACACACCGTTCGATGGTCTATTTGCCCTGTCTTCAAACCCTACCTGGCCCCCCCTTAATGAGGGGGTCGGCGGCACCAGGGCGTTAGCCCATTTATATGTATCTACCCACAATACCCCACGTAGGAGGTGCATGGTTGAGCCACATCCCAAAATCTGATTGGTTAATCAAGCGCGTTATCTTTGACCATTTGGTGCAACGAAACTTGGAAATGGAAACCGGCTGTCTTGTAAATCATTCCTCGATATAATATACGGTAACATCAGAACCCTTCACATTCCAAACAACACTCTTCCATTCCCGCGTCAAACTACACATCGGAATTCATGGTTGAACCGCCACCCGCCCCCACACCCCCCCGGATTTTCTTTAAAATCCGCGTCCCCGTGAAACATGGAAATCTACGGAACCCTGTCTTCAAATCCCTATCCAAAAAAATTGGCCTGTCCATCTTTCCTAACGCAGCAATCCACCCAGCGAAACAGGGGGTTCTCGCAAACAGCAAAGGCGCCTTCGTTGAAGGTCGTCATCACCAAAACAGCACCCGGAGCCAGCTCCAACGCCTACCGGTTCGACCAGTAGACAGGCAGCAGGCAGCACACGCACATGGAAAAGTGTGCGAAAGAACAAACTGCGGTGATGATCACCTGCTTCAAAGTGCGATTTTCCATGCGACTTGGAAATGGTCCCGGCAGCATCCGGCAGCACCAAAGTCCAGACAGCTTTGAAGCATGATCCCACCGGTCACTTTCCAAGAGCTGGGTTGGTCCCAAAAAAGGTTACCCCATACATCTACGCTAATGCTTTTACCATTACATCATGTGCAAGAATTGTTGAAACCATTTCAGGGTATACCATACCCCATTGCTGGACAAACCCAAATGAGATTCAAACGGTTCTGTATCCCATTTTATCACCAGGATATCACCCCAGAATGGTTGGTTTGTGATGTTTTTTTGTCTTTTTCCACCATTTCGAGACCCATCGTTTCCTTTCCAGGCAGCGGAAATCCAACCTAAGCCGGCACCCACTCTTAAGAGCTCCTAGGCTGTACTACTCGTACCTCCGCTGGAAGAATGGCCGCGGCTGGGCTATCTTCCAGGATTGCCGGGATGAAGCTGTCGTTGACGCCGGAGAGGTCTGGCAGCCTCAAAAGCCGGGGAGGTCGCTGAGAGCATAGCAGATGCAACGGTTGCAACGGCTGAAAAAGTCGTGGATGAATGTGCCGCTTTGAATTTCTCCAACCTCATCCGCCACAAAGTTTCTGAGGCTTCGGCTTCAGAGCCGCCATGGTCCCCACCGGGGAGGATGCCACTGAGGCCGTGCTGTTTTGTTTGGAGAAGAGCTCACCTCACGAGCGCGCGGCATTTACATACGGTGTATCTTTGTGTATCTACATTTGTGTATCATAAATATGTGGGTTCAAACGCTTATTTTTACAAATTAAAATATATCACAACAAAGTAGTCAATCAATTTCTGGTGATGGATCAAATCTTTTGAAATTCTGTGTCTAATGACATGAACCGGGTATAGATGAAATACCAGTGGCATCGGATTGTGAAGGGGTACTCATCAACTTGTCAGGCGAATAGGCAGGAAAATCACGGCTGTAGTCTGTAGTAGAAGCTATATATTCTGGGTTCAACATTATCGTGGGATTGGCAATGATTGTGAGGTGAGTTGCCACTTAGGTACTTAGGGCCACCCATGTACCTTACCAGAGAATATTCATGTTTTACTCCCCAATGCGTAGCAAGGGTTTCCGTTTCATTGGGGTCTGGGGGTTGAGGCTGTGTTCGCCAAACGTTGCGCAACCGTCCGCAACCGTCTGTTCCCAATAGATCAGGTTAGGCAATTTTCTGCCGAAAAGGTAATTCCTTATCTTAGACAAAAAAATTAACTATTAGTTTATTTTTTCCTTACCTAAATTAGTTAATTTTTCTTGCCTTAACTAATTTTTTACCTAACTTTCAACGAAAGTTTGCACGCAAACTTTCAACCCCGCCTCGCAAGTTTGCATGCAAACTTTCAACCTCCCCTCGCAAGTTTGCAGGCAAACTTTCAACCCCCCCTCGCAAGTTTGAGTGTAAACTTGCACCACCATTTGCATTCAAATGCTTGCGTGTGTGTCAAAGGGCGCAAATTTGCTTGCAAACTTTCAACCCCGCCTCGCAAGTTTTCGCGCAAGCTTTCAACCCCCCCTCGCAAGTTTGCGCGCAAACTTGCAACCTCCCCTCGCAAGTTTGCATCCAAACTTTCAACCTCGTCTCGCAAGTTTGCATGCAAACTTTCAGCCCCGCCTCGCAAGTTTGCACGCAAACTTTCAACCCCACGTGCCGAATTACCTTAAAATTAGGTTACATTTTTACCTTAAAAATTACCTAATTAGGTAGGAAATAAGGAATTAACTATTAGGCAGGAAATTGCCTAACCTGATCTTTTGGGTTCGCAACCGTCCGCAACCGTTCGCGTGAGGGCCGTATAGCCGTGCCTATAGTAAGTTCTGCAGTAGGCGTAGCACTTCGTGACATTCAGACGTGTTTCGTAACGTGTCGAAAGTGGTTCTGTGTGGCAGGCGCAATCGTTTCCAGAAGATGCGTTGCAGTTTTCGTGGCAGGCGCATCACTTTGGACGTGTCCATCTTCATTTTGCGTGGCAGGCGCAGCACTTTAGAGGAGTCGTGTTGCGTGGTTTTGCGAATCGCATTGTCAGGGCTGCATCCAGTGGTGGCAACGCGCAAATTCCCAGGCAAGCGTGGCATTTTGTGAGATGTGCTGAAAATTGACGACAGCCTCGCACGAAACATCGATTTTGAGGTAGCCAATTTTGAGGTTCACAAGAAAACTCATGGGAAAACGTCCGACTTTGAAGCTACAAAGCGTGAAATTAGATGATTTCTCGCAGGAAATGCTTTCGTTTTGGTGCTCCAACATGTCTCGTCTCGAGTCTCTGGTTTTCCTGTGGCCTCGCCTTGTCTATGGGGGAAGCTGCAAAACCTATCCTGTTTCAAGGTGTCATTTCAAAGCAAGTTGTAACACGGTTTTGCGCGGCAGGCGTGCCACTTCGTGACATTCTCACGTGTTTGTAAAAAGTGTCGAGAATCGTTTTGTGTGGCAGGCGCAATACTTTGGTGTAGTTTTCAGAAGATAAGCTGCATGTTTCGTAGCAGGCGCAGCACTTTGGAGACATCCATTGTCATTTTGCGTAACAGGCGCAGCACTTCAGACGTGTTGCGTTGCGTGTTTTTGCAAACACCGACGTCAGGGCTGCGTCAAGTGGTGACAATGTGCAACATTCCACACTTCACAATCCACACTTTACATCACTTTACACTTTACCTCCACACTTTACACTTTACACTCCGCACTCTACACTTTACACTCAACACTCTACACTCTACGCTTTACACTTCACATTCCACGCTTTACACTCCACACTCCACACTCTACACTCCACACTCTACACTCCACACTCTACACTTTACACTCCACACTGTACACTTTACACTCCACACTTTACACTTTTCACTTTGCACTACGCACTTCACACTCTACACTCTACACTTTGCAATCCACACTCCACGCTTTACACTCTACACTTTACACCCCACACTTTACACTACACACTTTACACTCTACCCTTCACATTCCACACTCTACACTCCACACGCTACAGTCCACACTCCACACTCTACACTCCACACTCTGCACATCACACTCCGCACTCCACACTCCACACTTTACACTCCACACTCCACACTCCACACTCTACACTTTACACTCCACACTCCACACTCTACATTCCACACTTTACACTTCAAGCTTTTCACTCCACACTTTACACTTCACACTCCACACTCAACACTTTACACTCCACACTTTACACTCCACACTTTACACTCCACACTCCACACTTCACACTTTACACTCCACACACCACACTCTACACTTTACACTCCACACTCCACACTTTACACTTTCCACTCAACTCTTTACACTTCACACTCCACATTTTACACTCCACACTCCACACTTTACACTCCACACTTCACGCTCCACATTCAACACTGTACACTCTACACTTTACACTCCACACTTTATGCTCCACACTGTACACTCTACACATTACACTCCACACTCTACACTTGACACTCTACACTCCACACTTTACACTCCACACTTTACACTCCACACTCAACACTTTACACTTTGCACTCTACACTTTACACTCCACACTTTACACTCCACACTTTACATTCTACACTTCACACTCCACACTCTACATCAAACACTTTACACTCCACACTCTACACTTTACACTCCGCACTCCGCATTTTACACTTTACTCTCTACACTTTACACTCCACACTCCACACTTTACACTCCACACTCCACACTCTACACTTTACACTCCACACTCCACACCTTACGCTCCGCATTTTACACTTTACACTCCACACTCCACACTTTACGCACTACACTCCACACTTTATGCTCCACACTTTACACTCTACACTTTACACTCCACACTCCACACTCCACACTTCACACTCCGCACTTTACACTCCACACTTTTCACTTTACACCCCGCACTTTACACTTTACACTCCGCACTTTACACTGTATACTTCGTACTCCAAACTCTACACTCCACACTCTTATTCCACACTCCACAGTCTACACTTTGCACTCCACACTCTACACTTTACACTCCACACTTTGCACTCCACTCTCTTTCGCATTCCACAGTTACAGTGCACTGGTACGGTATCAGGGGAAAAATGTACAAGACTGTTCAAATAACTTGTTTCACAAAAGCGTTCTACGTGACTGTATTCGGCTTCGCGGGCTGCATCTTGTCCTTTTTCTTAAATGTAAACAATGCAGTTTAGTGGAAAAGTCCCTGCCAGAAGAGTGACAGCCCTTGTGCTTTCCATTGCTGAAAGAAACTTCGCCGCTTCGGGGTTGATCTAGTAATCCATTAGTAGTGTACGGTCAGTCGTGGCGCGCTCGGGTCAGGTTCCGAATCAACATTGTGAAAAGCGCTTGATCAAGTGTATCTGCGCGTGTGTTTGCACTCCTTCATGGATTGCAAAATGTATACGGAGTATACTGGTGTAAGGGGGGTTGGGAAGAAAAAATACTTTGCTTCGAGTGATCCCCACCGTCACCGTCACAAAACTACTGTCATACCTGCCTGCCATGGTTCTGACATATATTCTGACATTGTCTCTGGCACATCTTTCTGGCAGGGAAGAGGAGGAGAGGACAACTCTGATGAAATCTAGAGACCCTCAGTGTGGACACACTGTTTGGGGAAACACCATGTTTGCGAATTAAACCCCCTGCGTTTGGTATAATACAAGTTTTGATAATATATTATATACACATATATAATCATATATACATATCGCCTCTATCATTGCCATCTATCCGATCCACTTGCCAAGGCGCTGAGCAGGGCGCCTGTGGCCTGTTCCAGCTCCAGTAGAACTGCAGCTTGCAGGTTTTGAGCCACCGAAGTGGTTTCCTGAGCAACCCTGGCGAGAACCCCCTTGTGAGATCATTTGAGGAGCTTAGTCTCCACATTACTCTATATGTTGTATGTGTCCATATCTTTATCTTAGATGTATCAAATCATACAACGGGGTACATCCTATCACAAAACCACCGTGCTTATTTTAAGAATCCCTTCTCCCACGAATCACGAAGTAACACCCTCATAAAGGCTGTGGCCGATCTGTTCATGTTAAGGTATATATGTTAGAGGCTCGCAAGTCAGACTCATTACGAATGTTGCTGCAATTTGTGCATCATTTTGTTGGATCTGGTATTTATAATATGCCCAAAACTTGGTTGCTTTCGGATATGTATTTTGGTATTTGTATCATAGGAAGCAGCTAGTAAGCTGCACTGGGCAGCTGCCCCCAGAGAATCAGAACTGCAAGGGTTTGTGCAAACCAGCTTCAGTGATGGAAGTGCTTGTTCTGGAAACTGCAGTGGGTGAGCTGGTGGTGGTTGCCCAAGAGGAAGTGCTCGTAGCGGTAAAAGTGAGGCTGCTACTGGTGGAAGTTCTGCTGGAACCGGTGACAGTCACGGTGGTACTGGTGCTGGCACTCAGAGTGGTAGTAGAACTGCCGGTTCCACTTCCACTGGTGGTACTGGTAGTACTGGTAGTGGTCCGACTGGTAGTACTGCTGCTTGTGCTGCTGGCAGTATGAGTGCTTGTGCTGCTGACGGTGGCAGTTGTACTACTGGACCTGCTAGTACTGCTACTGGACGTGCCAGTGGAAGTGCTGCTGCTGATGGAGACAGTACTGGTGGAAGTGCTGCTGCCCGAAGTGCTACTGCTGCTAGATGTGGTGCTGCTCGAAGTGGTGCTGCTCGAAGTGCTACTGCTAGACGTGGTGCTGCTAGATGTGGTGCTGCTCGAAGTGGTGCTGCTCGAGGTGCTACTGCTAGACGTGGTGCTGCTAGATGTGGTGCTGCTCGAAGTGGTGCTGCTCGAAGTGCTGCTGCTGGAAGTGCTACTACTCGAAGAACTACTAATACTACTACTAGAAGTGCTAGTGGAACTGGTCGTGGTTGTGGTCCCAGAAAGCACTTCTACATGGAAGGCTCTGTCGAATGCAACCTGGCTGGATGTCAGTGGCAAACACCTCGTGTCGATCCTCCACATGAGCACTCCACGTTATTGTCCCCAAGATATTTGGCATCATATGTGTAAGACTTAACATGTACACCACTTTGTACACGCTAGAACTGCTTACAAATATCATTAAATACCGGCATAAAAACCTCAGCGGGCTTGAATATTCTCAATTGTTTTGGTTGAACCGAAACCTGCCATCTTCGCCAAGCTGCCAAACTCGCCTTTTCGCTGCCGTGACTTCTCAACCCCGTGCACTGAGGCCGCGTGTTGGTGATGTCAATGTTTTGGATGGTCACCACAAGTCCTGAGGTCCAAGTCAGCCCTGGAACGGAGGCGAACAAGTCTGATTTCTGAGAACGTTCCAAATGGAGACCCATGGATTTTTACCATAAACATCCGTAAACATGGGGGTGTCAGCTGGTGTTCCAGCAAACACTTGAAACTTTGCTTTAAACCAAGCCTGGTACGGGTTGATCTCCTACATGCAACGACGCGCTTGTTGAAGGAAGTCCCTTTCTGAAACTATCATTGGAATCATTGGACCTTCTTTTTCCCGTGCCAGGTGAAGGTAAGATTTTCTGTCAGCACCTCCTCCTCTTCCCCCTCCTCTTCGGATCTGGGTGACTGACCGGAGTCCATGTCAATCTTGGGCCTCTGTGTCCAAGCTGCTGGACTTTGTGCCCCAGAATAGATGCCAGAAGAAATGTCTGAAAATATCGGAAAATATATCACACGAGAAAATGGCAGATCAAACGCGTTCGCCTCTCTCTCTCAGAGGCGGTTACCATATGTGAATATAAATAAATAAATATAAAAAATATATATATAATGTCAGAATGCAAGAAATTTCCCAAAACAAATGTGAAAACATGTGCGAGAACAAATGTTTCAAAAAAAAAGCATGAAAAAATGCCATCACATGATGTCAGACGAAATGTGACAGTTCATGTCAGAATATGTGCTGTTATAGGTGTTTTTTGCAAGATTACATGTCAGGCTAGATGTCAAAGCATATGTCGGGAGAAATGCCAGAATATGTGTCAGCACAAATGCCGGAACATGTGTTTGAATTCATATCAGAATAAATGTCAGGGTGTTTTATTACGTATAATAATGTTCACACATTGGAAGACGTCATCGAGACCATACAGACATGTGTTTTTTCACACCCCAGACTACCAAACAAAAAAGTCCTTACTGCATCAAGAATTGGGTTCCATGTCGTTCCATCAAAACTGTCTTAGAGCAAAGGGTTCCCAGTTTCCCACTTTGTACTTCTAGAAATCGATTTCCAGGTGCTTCCGGGGTCTCAACTTTGTCAAGAGGCTATGATTCAAAACCCATTCTTTAGGGGATGAACAACCAGAATAACCATGAATAACCCAAAAGCTTTGGTGAGCAAGGTACCGCTATGTTTTAAGCAATCCCCAAAAAGGACCCCGCGATATTCCCATGATTATTTCCATATAGGATGCCCTCCAATAAATTAAGAAAGCAACGGAAATCCATGGGCTCCCTAGGAAATGATCTACAATCATGTGTTCTTTAGGGGCCCCCCAAAACAAGACCATCCAAAAATGAGGAACATTTAACATAATTTAATGGCATTTAGTGACATTTAAGGGGTTGAAAATTTAGTGGCATTTAATGGCATGTATTGACAAATTACTGAAAATTAGATTTAATGAAAACTATCGAAATTTAATGAAATTCAATGAAAAATTGTGAACAGATGAAATTTAGTGAGAAATGGAAAAAGATAATGAAAATTATATAGTAAAAAATAATGAAAGCTATTGAAATAGTCTAAAATAGTTAAGTTGGATGAAAAATAAAGAAAAAAAAATAGGCATAAACAATAAAGAAAATAGTGAACAATAGTGGCAAATAATGAAAAATAGTGAAGAGTGTGAAAAATAAATAATCTTTCCTATATTTTCAAGATCGTGGAAATTTGCATGGGCCCGGGCTCTAAAACCATACGTGATACACATGGTGGATTTTCGGTACCTATGCTAGTTTACTGGAAGGTACCTCCATAACATCGTATTTCGATGATGCTCCGTATGCTGCGCGGGTCCAGCGGCACATAAGTTAAGTTATATTCCTATTACATTTGTTCGATTAAATTATTGCGTGTATAGTCCCAAAATATTCCTGTCATACCATATTTAATTCCATTCTATCCCGATTTCATCCCCCAATATTTTCAGGTGCAGATCGCGGCAAGGTATAGCTGTGGTATTTTCTTATACCTCATAACAATGTACTGCATATTCCCCATCATATAGAAATCAAATTTCACAAGCTCCTGGGAATTTGGGATTTTTGGGGAATATTGGATATCAAGGTCAAGGTGCAATATTTGATGCAGTGTACGCGCACAAGGGTCACACAAAAAAACTTCACAGCGAAATGGTTTGCATGGGTTTGCACTGGACCAGCCTACCATAAACAGAATTGGTCCAATTAATCGTTCAGAAAAATGGAGACGGTCGGAAACGGTCAGAAACGGTCCTTGCGCCAAGGGTTGCGAAACTGTTTGCAGCTTCAGCCCCCGAACCTCCTTTCTACAAGTAGTACGTACCCGGGCAAGCTGGGGGCGGAAGTTTCAATTTTGAAACGCTTACAGCCTATAGAGCGGAGCAAAGGCTGTGCCTATAGGTGACGGGCAAGACTCCTGTGCTTCGCAGCACCAAGCTCTCGACTTGTCAATCTGATGCCATGTCTTTTGAACGCGGGATCTTTTTTCATTTCATCTGATCTCATCGCTGTGCAGCTTCTCTGGGAAATTGCTCATTGCATCCCATTGCCACCGCAGTCTGTGTCATCCCATCTCATCTCAACTCATCTCATCTCACGTCTGGTCAACTTGTTTCACCTCATCTCATCTCATCCCATCTCAAGTCTTCTCTCTCTTGCTCGGCTCTTCTCAGCTGGTCACAACTGTTCTCTTCTCTGCTCTGCTCTTCTCTTCTCTTCTCATGTCACCTGAACGACTTTTCTCATCTCATCTCAGCTTGTCCTATCTGTTCTCAAAATTTCACAGCTCTTCTCAACTCTTCTCAGCTCTCCGCAGCTCATGTCAGCTCATCTTACGTCTTCTCGTCTCCTCTTCCCTCTTCTCACATCTTCTAAGCTCTTCTCACATCTCCGCAGCTGATCTCAGCTCTTGTCAGCTCGTCTCACCTCATCTCAGCTCCCCTCAGCGCACTCTCAAATCACCTCAGCTCTTCTCTGGCCCAAAACCTGCTCCAAACAAGGATCTTGGTGCCAAAGCAAGCGACCCCTGCGCTTTTCACAGAGAAGATTTGACACAGAGAACCTTTACACACAGCAAGCTTTTGCACAGAGAAGCTTGTACACACAGAAGCTTTTACACAGAGACAGGGAAGCTTGTACACAGAGACAGGGAAACTATTACTCACAACAAGCTTTTACACAGAGTAAGCTTTTACACACAGCAAGCTTTTACACACAGAAGCTTTTACATAGAGAAGCCTGTGCACCGAGAAGCTTTATTACGCACAGCAAGCTTTCACACAAAGAAGCCTCTACACCGAAAAGTTTGTACACAGAGAAGCTTTCACACACAGAAGCTTTTACACAGAGAAGCCTTTACACAGCTTTTACACACAGCGAGCCTCCACACACAGAAGCCCCTACCTTACACAGAGAAGATTTTACACACAGCAAGTTTTTTTAGAGAGAAGCTTTCACACACTGAAGCTTTTACACAAAGAAACCTTTACACAGAGAAGCTTTTACACACAGAACCTTTTCACATTGCAAGCCTTTACGCAGAGAAGCTTTTACACACAGAAGCTTTCACACACAGAAAGCTTTTACACAGAGAAGCTTTTACACAGAAAAGCTTTTACACACAGAAGCTTTGACACACAGCAAGCTTTCACATACAGAAGCTTTTGCACGGAGAAGCCTTTGCACAGCTTTGACACACAGAGAAGCCCCTACCTTACACAGAGAGAAGATTTTACACAGCATTACGATTTACGATTTCCAGCTGCAGAAGACATTAGTATTACGCACGCAGCCGCGGCACCAAGCAACCTTGACGCAGCCATTACCTTGCGATCCGCAGAGACTGAGTTGCAAAACACAAAAGAACATCCCCCATCGAATTTCAGGGGAGACGTTGTGACCCTAACTCTGTAGGTTACAAAAATTATTCACAAGCTTGGGGCTATAGAATGAGGTTGCTGAGCTCCATTTTCCCAAAATGGCCTTAGCTACGAAATGCCAATTCATTTTCAACAACCTTGAAAAACGGACGAGCTTGAATACTGCCATATTCTGTCCCTACGTCATGAAGCTCATCATGTTTTCTTACAAAATGCCACTGCGATTTTTTATGTTGGGCTAACATGATTAAAATGATTCCTTTACAACATGAGATTCACAAGTTTAAGCTACAAAATCTTGGGCCTGGATTTCATGTCACGGTTAGCCTGACTAAAATGGAAGCCTCTGTAAGAGGCACAAGGCCACAAACTTTGTAGTTTAAATTTGTAGGAGTAAAAAAAAACGACTACGCAACGGCGTGAGAAATTGCAGCTCCAAAACCGGATCCCGGCGCCAAAGCAAAAAAAAGACGATTTTGAAGCTTAAAGGACCTTTAAAAGGACATCACCAGCGCCAAAATTGAGAAAATCTGCTGACAAATCACTACCGCAACCTTGATGCAGCCACTCCAATACGATTTACGATGTCCAGCTGCAAAATACAATAGTATTACGCACGCACCAAGCAAACTTGACGCAGCCATTACAGTGAGATCTGCCGAGACTGAGTTGCAAAGCACAATAGAATGTTGCAGCTCCAAAACCGGATCTCGGCACCAACCAAGCATTCGTGTGAGACTTCCCTGAACAAGTGAAAGTGGAAGATGTGAAAACGACGCTTTCGTGCGAGACTTCCCTCAAAATCTGAAAGTTGAAGATGTGAAAACGAAGCTTTCGTGCGAGACTTCCCTGAACAAGTGAAAGTGGAAGATGTGAAAACAAAGCTTTCCTGCGAGATTTCCATCAAAATCTAAAAGTTGAAGATGTGAAAACGAAGCTTTCGTGCGAGACTTCCCCCAAAAAGGGGTGTAGAATAATTCTTGTTTTTTTTTTGCCTCAGGTTTTGGACTTTTTTTGGCTTTCTTTCCTGGTACCATTTGCCTTGTATTCGCAACAGTTTGGAACTAGAACCTGTCGTTTTGCATGGTATTTGCTACATTTTGGCATGGTCACTTTGCATTTTGCATGGTATTTGCTACATTTGGTCATGTTTGCCTTCCAT